CATTCCTAATTGAGACATTCAAGAAGATGGGAATTGAAGAAAAATACCTCAAGTTAATACAAGCTATCTACAAAAAGCTAAGCGCCAACATCATAGTCAGTGGGGAAAAGACAAAAACAATCCCACTGAAAAAGCGGACCAGACAAGGATGCCCCCTTTCCCCACTTCTATTCAACATCGTACTGGAGGTCCTAGCTAACAACATAAGACAGTGGAAGGACATTAAAGGTATCCAAATGGTAGAGGACGAGGTGAAATTATCGCTATTTGCAGATGACATGATTCTATACATTGAAAATCCCAAAAGCTCCACAATAGGAGTACTGACAGCAATAGAGGAATATGGAAGAGTGGCAGTATACAATATCAACAAAAAAGTCTATTGGTTTGCTTTATATATCAGACAAGACCATGGAAGAGGAGATCAAGAAGGCAGTACCCTTCATAATAGCCAAAAACTAATGGATATATCTAGGGATATACTTAACCAAAAGACTTATACAAGGAAAACTGCAGGACCTATTACAAGAAACCAAAAGCGACCTCCACAAATGGAAGAATATCCAATGCTTGTGGATCGAAAGACTAAATATCATAAAGATGTCAACACAACCCAAGGCACTACATAAGTTTAATGCTATCCCGATTCAGATACCAGCAACCTTCTTCAAAGAATTGGAAAAACTGACTACCAATTTCATATGGGAAGGAAGAAGCCCAGAATTAGCAGAGAACTCCTCAAGAAGAAGGACAAAGTTGCTTTACCTGACTTTAACACTTACTACACAGTCACAGGGGTCAAAACAGATGGCACTGGAATAATGACAGATACTCAGGCCAGTGGAAAAGAACAGAAAACCCAGAAATAAAACCATTAGCTTATAGACAACTGATCTTCAACAGGGTCCAAAAAGCATCAAGTGGGAGATGGATTCCCTCTTTAACAAGTGGCACTGGAAACAATGGATATCCACCTGTAGAAAAATGAAATGAGATGCTTACCTCACGCCATGCACAAGAACAAACTCAAGGTGGATCACAGACCTAGAAGTAAAATCCCAAACTATCAGGACCATCAACGAAGGAATCAGGACAAACCATAGAACCTTGGCTCAGGGAATACATAGGCTAACTGCAATAAGGAAGGGTACACACACACAACACACACACACACACACACAAACGAACCTGAAATCAGCAAGTGGGATATACTAAGGATAAAACACCTGTGTGCTTCAAAAGACTTCACCAAGAGAGTAACAAGCGAACCCACAGACTGAGAGAGGATTTTTAGCAATGACACACAAAGGACTTATTACTAAAATCTACAATACCTCCCTAGTCTGCAAAAAGAAGAAAACAGTTAACCCCCTGAGGAAGGGGGCAAAAGACCTGAACAGAAGTTTCACTAGGGAATGGCAATTAAACATATGAGAAAATGCCCATGATCATTAGCCATCAGAGAAATGCAGATTAAAACAACCTTGAGATACCACCTAAGATCCTTAAATATAGCCCAAATCAGAAAATCAAAGTACAACAATGTTGGAGGGGATGTGGCGAGATAGGAACTCTCTTTCACTGCTGGTGGTCATGTAGATACGTGTAGCCTCTGTGGAAAGCGATCTGGCAATATTTAAAGCAAATGGAAATTGAGTTACCCTGTGACCCAGCTATCCCTCTACTGGGCATATACCCAGAAGAGGGAAAAAATAAACCACAACCAGTCATCTGTCCTCCAATGTTTATTGTAGCGCAATTCATAATCCCAAAGAATTTGAAATAACCTAAATTTCAATTGATAGATGAGTGGATTAGAAAACTCTGGAACATACACACAATGGAGTAGTACACATCCCTAAAGAGCACTGATGATCACATGAAGCACATCGTCTCATGGGAAGAGTTGGAGGAAATTATGCTAAGCGAAGTTAGCCAATCACAAAAGGACAAGTACAGCATGAGTCCCCTGAGGTAAGTATAATCAGCACAGAAGATATAGAAGAAAAGCCACTTATCTCACAATATGTGAGTTGAGTTGACAAAATGGGTGCATAAGCAAATGTGATGAAGAAAGCTGATGGTGCCCAGATATCAAAAGATATAGCGTGTGGAGTCCTAAAGGCTTGATGTTAAACAAGTGGCCATCTAGCAGAGAAGCAACAAAGCCCACATGGAAGAAGCACACCAGCCTGTGCCATCATGAAGTATAGACAGGACCTGATAACAGGCATCAGAAGACCCCAAACAAAGAAACAAAACCATATTGTTGAGAATGAGGGGGGTCGGAGCAGAGACTCAAAACCCATCTGTAGACAATGGGACATTCCCTCACAGAAGGGTAACAAGGAATGGATGAGTCAACCAGGGTACAGTATAGCACTGATGAAACACACAATATTCCTCTGGTTCCTTAAAGCTTCCTCACTTCCCAATACCATGATCCCAGTCCTGCCTTTCAATTCAGGATAGACTGGAGCATGTACACTGGTACAGATAAGAGATAAGAGCTCATGACATAGGGAATCCAGGAACAGGAATGGGAGTAGCAATACCAGGAGGGTAGGGATAAGGTGGGGAGAGGAGGGGAGGCAATGGGAAACCTATAGCAGTGATTGACACATAACCATGCCCCCCCCCCCCCCATTCCAGGGCAATGAACAACAGAAACCATGGGGGAAGGAAGACAGTGGTCGGTGTAAGATACGAAAATAATAATTTATAATTTATCAAGGGGTCACAAGGGTGGGAGGAGGAGAGGGAGAGAAAAAAGAGCTGATATCAAGGGCTCAAATACAAAGTAAATGTTTAGGAAATAATGATGGCAACATATGTACAAATATGCTTGATACAATTGATGGATTGTTATAAGAGCTGTAGTGTACATGATCTTTTAATAAAAAATAACTACAAATTAAAAGTTCTTTTCAAATTTAATCTTAATTAAAGCCATTATCATGGAAAAGTAAAATTGTACATTTAGTACTAAATGTTTTCTTACTATTAAAAAAAACAACTTAAAACCCTCCAAAAAACCCTAAACACCCCAAACCTAAGTTTTTTGTGGCTGTTAGATTCTGTAAGAATTACTGTTCAGGTGGTGCCATTCAGAAAGCCTATATAAATTGATTTAATTCAACTTGTGGTATCGAATCTTACCCTTTCACATTATATTAATTTCTCCTACCCTAATCCAATCAGGGCTTTTTTTCAAAGTATATATCTGTTTTGAAGTTCTTGAACAGCTTTCCCCTGGTTTGTAGGGCTTCACGCTGTCCTGATTTTCAGCTTTCTAAAAGAATTTTCCCTCTACATAGGCATTTCTTCCATCCACTCCACTTTAAATGTTACCTAAGTGAACAATTCCTGAATTTTACTTCTCTAGCATTTCTCTCCTTCAATCACCTATTAACAACATCTCCATTTCAACATGCAGGTCTCACATGTAAAACTAAACATGTGAAAATGAAAATAAACATATCCTCCACCCAGAAGAGATGTGCCCTCGGCTTCAGTGTCCACCTAATGGGTCCATTCAGTAAAAATTAACGAAGTCCTCTAAATGAAAACTCCAAGCCACAGAGAATCCGACAACAGCCATCACTGATTTTAAATTACCCACTTGGTTTTCTCTAAGCAAATCACATTCCTGATGTTGAAAAAAGGAAAAGGCAGCTAGTGTCAGTACTTTCAGATTTAGCAAAGATGCATTTCCATATTCAAACGAGCAAAGCACGAATATTACAGACGGCATAATACTTGGGGGAAAGCTGCCCAGCCATAGGCCCTGAAGAGGTGACCAGATTTAAAGCGGGACACCATTGCCGAGGGGACAGGGGGTTCTTGATTAAAAATTTGGTCTACAGTAAACCCTCGCCACTTCGCGCTTCGACTTCCGCGGCTTCACTCTATCGCGGTTTTTGCGTAACAGCACCCACTGCCTACACCTGCTCCTTCAGAGGAAAAAGACGGCGACCCACCTGTAGAGTACATCCCTTAAGTCATTTCATAGGCTATTGATTACAGTATTTGTAAGAACTATGTATAATAATACTGTATGTGAAATATGTAATACTGTAAACTAGATGCCATAAATAATATAATAAATGATCATTGTAACGTCCAAAATGTTTTACTGTAATTTTCCCTTTTTCGTTTAATAAATTGGGTAATACGAGTGTAATGGTGACTAAAGGGTGTTTTTTCATGTCCTCTATGCTCTAACTACGAAAATATTTGATTTACAAATAAGGAATCCTACTTCGCGGAATTTCATTTATCACGGTAGGGTCTAGAACCGATTAACCGCGATAAACGAGGGTTCACTGTATATGGACCAAATAGACCATTCCGATCCTAGCTTGTCGTGCATTCTTTCCAAAAAGCGGGACTGTCCCGCCAAAAGCGGGACGTCTGGTCACGTCTCTTTTAAAGAGAAGAGCCAACTTTTCCTGCTAGTTACTTCACTTTGACCCCTTTCGTCGGCCACGTGGGAAAAGCCTAATCACAAAGCCTGTCCACCTAGCTAGGCCCTGTACAAAGAAAGCTACCTTTCCCATCTCCTCCCTTGTAGCCCAGAAACTCGGAGGAAACAGAATGAATGACAGGAGCGTTCGTCCAACAGTCTAAGCGTAGGCTCTGAAGTGTACCTGGCACGTTAGCCACTTTCCACCACTTTTTAACCTTTTTCTTAGACTCCCCGTCTAGCCATAGATCCCCCTCAGCTTCTCACACACAACGAACTGGAATGCACGCAGGCGCCGCTTCCACGCTCGTAGAGCCCGCCCTGGGTGGGCGAGTCTCTGAGGCTCACCCAATCAGAACTCAGCCTGGGAGCCGCCGTCTATCACGTAACTCTAGTCCCCGCCTCCCGCCCTCTGCGGAGAGCCTCACCCACTACCAGGCCTGGCAAGGCTCCGCCCTTCAGACGGCGCGTTCTGATTGGTGGATGCTCCTGCGGTCTCCTGGGTGACAGGAACGCGGTAGCCCTCTCTGTGGAGACCGAGCGCACTTGCGCACTCCCTGAGTCGCGCGGCCGCTCGAGCTTTGAGATGAAGGTAAATAACTTGAAAACCCCGGGAGGGATGGGGCAGGAAGTGGCGAGCCCTGGCCTTCCCTGCTGTCGGCCTAGCCTCGCTTTCAGGAGCGGGTCCGTGCCCTCCTCCGTTCTCCCGAGTGGGTGAGGAGTTGGGAGGCGAGCGGGGTGACTAGGAAGCGGAGGGCGGAGGTGAAGTTAAAGGAGAAAGACGCAAAGGAGAGGGAGGCCTCGTCTTTGGGGCCCGCGATCGGGATTGGAGCTGTGTGGGAAGAGGGAACTTCGGAAATGAGTTGACTGGCTCTGAAGGGACCCCCGAACTTCGCACGGAGGAAAGATCGGGTAGTGAATGCGTTTGGAGGGTCCCGGTGAAGTTGGCTCGATCGGGTGTCGAGAGCTGCCTCTCTTCTTGCAGCAAAACCTTTGCAAGCCGCGCAGCTGCTCGGCGCCTTAGTTCAAGACCTTGAACGAATGTTCTCAAATTGAATTGCCTGGGCTCATTTACAGATGCTCCGTTGGCGAGTGTACATAGTTCACCGCACATCTAGTTCTTTCTCACTTCCCTGCACCTGGTCCTCAGTCGGTACACACCGTTTCTAGCCTTGGACTTCTTCGAAGTCACTGGCTACAGCTCATTCCCTCTTCCCCTGTACCTTAGCCATGCCATCCTGCCAGGACCAGGCACAGGGAGGAAAAGGTCACGTGTGAAATTACTTGGATACACCCTAATGCTTTCTCATGGCTGTTAGTGTGGGGATTGGAACAGACAGACGTGGGTATTCACAACTCACAATTTTAAAGCACTGCTCAACTTTTGAAGTACTTCAAGTGGTGTATGATTGCTGTTTTATAGTTGGTATTCTGCAGCAAGAGGCAACAAAATTTAAATCCGTTCTTGACTGGTTGTGAAGCTGGTGCTTAGTCCCATGCACTAGATAGGGAGCATGGAGCCCTGGTGGTGCAGTGGGTTAAATGCTAGATTGTTAAATCCTGTGTGGGAGAAAATTGAGAATGAGGTGTGCATCCTCAAAGGTGTTTGTCTGACCTGTTAGGGTTTCTATAGTTGGTATCAGCTTCCCTAAAGAAAAATTATACATGCAGTTGAAGCCAGAGGTGCATTGGCAACAAAACTAATTAATGAAGCTCAAATTTCGGGGCAAAGGGGTCATATGTTTTTGTAAAATTTGCAAAAGAAATATTTTTTTATATGCTTCAATAGTGTCTCCATGCCACATAAAACCTGGGTATACTCATGATTATGCACATGTATAGGGACCCTTGGGGACATAGTGGTTATGCGTTGGGCTGCTAACCACAAGGTTAGCAATTCAAAACCACTAGCTGCTCCAGAGGAGAAAGAACTTTCTACTCCTGTAAAGAGTTACAGTCTTGGAAACCCACAGGGGCAGTTCTATTCTGTCCTGTAAGATCACTGAGTCAGGGTGCACTCGATGGCAGTGAGTTTGGTTTTGGTAGAGCTTTAACGATGACTTTCATTTTTAGCATATGAAATGTTCATTGATTAGTGTTTTTTTGTGTTGCTATTCAAAGTCAGATCTGTAGTCTAAACATCACATGCCTATGATAGAGACATCTTAATAAAATTGAGCTCTAAAATTTCTCACTGAGTTCTATGTTCCTCTTTAATATGACTGGCATCTCAAAGTAGAGTTGACTATAATGATGTGCATCAAGGCTTTATGGGAGTAAAGCCTTCAGGACTTTCATTTACTGATGGGGCATGACTCAAAATGAGAAGAAATAGCTCCTTTGATTAATAATCAACTTGGCATGTATGAAGTATTAATCTAGGAAAACTGGAAGTTGTTAAAAATGAAGTGGAACACATAAAGATTGGTAGTCTAGGTAGTAGCTGAAATTGACTGGTATTGGCCATTTTGGATCAGAAAATCATATGGCTTACTTTGCCAGGAATGACACAATCAAGAACAATGGCATTGCATTCATCATCAAAGAGGACATTTCAAGATCCATCTCTTGAAGTACAATGCTGTCTGTGGTAGGATAATAGCTCTCTACATTCAGGGAAATCCAATCAGTACAACATTACTCACATTTATGTACCAGTCACTCAAGCTAGTGATGCACTGCAGAAATTGAAGAATCTTACCAATGTCTTCGGTTGGAAATTGGTCAAACATATAGTCAAAATGCATTGATAATTATTGGTGATTAGAAGACAAAAATTGGAAATAGAGGAAAGAACAGTAGTTGGAAAATATGGTCTTGGTGATAGAAATGAAGGTGGATAGAACTTTTTAAGACCAGTAACTTACTGAGTGGAGACCCAAAGACCATCTGTAGAAAATTGGACATCCCCTTACAGAGGGGTCACAAGGAAGGGACGAGCCAATCAGGGTGCAGTATAACACCGATGAAACATACAACTTTCCTCTAGTTCTTTAATTTCCCCCCCTTTCCCTGCCCCCCCCCAACTGTCATAACCCCAATTATACCTTACAAATCTGGCTAGATCAGAGCATTTACACTGGTACAGATAAGAGCTTGCAACACAGGGAATCCAGGACAGTAAACCCCTCAGGACCAATAACGAGAGTAGTGATACCAGGAGGGTAAAGGGAAGGTGGGGAGGGAAAGGGGGAACCAATCACAATGATCGACATATAACCTTCCCCCTCCAGGGGGACAGACAACAGAAAAGTGGGTGAAGGAAGACAGCGGTCGGTGTAAGACATGAAAAAAATAATTTATAATTATCAAGGGATCATGAGAGTGGGAGAGAGGAGGAAATGAGCTGATACCAAGGGCTCAAGTAGCAAGAAAATATTTTGAAAATTATGATAGCAATGTATGTACAAATGTGCTTGACACAATGGATGGATGGATGGATGGATGGGTTCTGATAAGAGCTGTAAGAACCCCCAATAAAATAAAATTTTAAAAAGACCAGTGACGTCATCACAAATACCTTTTTTCAACAACAAAAAAGGCAACTATGCAAAGGCAACTATGCACATGGATTTCTCCAGATGGAATGCACAAAAATTAAATTGACTACACCTGTGGGAAGAGATAATGGGAAAACTCAATATCAGCAGTTAAAACCAGGCAAGGGGCTGTCTGTGAAACAAACCATCAATTGCTCATATGTCAGTTCAAATTGAAACTGAAGAGAATTAGAACAAGTGCTTGAGGGCCAAAATGTGACCTTGAGTATAACCCATCAGAGTACCATGAACATCTCAAGAACAGATTTCATGCATTGAACCCTAATGACAGAATGAGCTGTGTGGTGTGGCATCACGAACATCATACATGAAGAAAGCAAAGGGTCACTAAAAAGACAGGAAAGAAAATATCAAAGTGGATTCAGAAGAGACTCTGAAACGTGCTTTCAGTCATAGAGTAGCTAAGGCCAACAGAAGAAATGATGAAGTCAAACAGCTGAGGAGAACATTTCAAAAGGGTAGCTGGAAGATGAAGTATTATAATGAAATGTACAAAGATTTAGTTAGAAAACCAAAAATGAAGGACATGCTTAGCCTATCTTAAACTGAAAGAACTAAAGATCAAATTCAAATCTTTAGTTGCAATATTGAAAGATTCTATGGGCAAAATACGGAACGATGCAAACATTCAAAGAAGATAAAGAAGATGGAAAGAATACATAGTCACTGTACCAAAAGAACTACTTGATATTCAACCATTTTTTAAAGTTTTGGTTCATTTTATTGGGGGTTCTTACAGATCATTCAACTATTTCAAGAGGTATCATATTTGCAAGACCAATGGTACTGAAGGAAGATGTCCAAGCTGCACAGAAAGCATAAGTCAAAAACAAGATTCCAGGAATTGATGGAATACCGATTGAAATGATTCTATTGTGACTTGTGGCTACCATATTGGATACCAGAGTTCTAGATTGTCTAGTAAAAAGAGTGACTTTTTTTCCCCAGTTGACATCCTGTCCATCCAATAGTCCAATAGGCAAAACTAAACATTAAAGAAGTATAACCAGTGAATAAAAGAAAAAAATTTTCAAAGAAGTAAACAGTTGTGGTCTAGCTAATTCCAGCTCGTTGGTTCTCACGTGTTGCAGAGTAGAATGGCCCTCTGTAGTCTTCATGACCTTTCTGAAGCAGATTGCCAGGTCTCTCTTCTTCAGTGCCTCAGCCTGCTGACCTTTTTTGTAGTATTTAAGTGGCACTCTGTGTCCCATACCACTCTGCTTTTCTGCTGGGTTATATAAATCATTGTAATGACCACACACACAATTCTCATAACTATGCGGTTTATTGTGGATGTTAACAGGTTACAATTCAGCTAAGCCATTACAGTTATTCAGTTAGTACATGTTACAGAACTCTTTTAGGGCTTCTAATAAATGCCCAAAGGGCATGCTACTCTCCTGTAAGTCACAACCTGAAGGCACTCAGCCCCAGGTCCATGGGTCAGGAAACTCAGGTCTCCTAATTAAGTGCCCAGAGACACCTCACTCACAAACCAGCCTGCTGTCCAAAAGCACCCAGCCTGATTTGACTGTGGGCTTAGAAGTCCACCACGCTGGTTCATGCTCTGCTCCTGCTTCTGCCCACTCTTCTGGTGTCAAAGCGCTCTCCTGGGGCAAGGAGGCTCACTGGGCCAGGATCTTCAGGAGACATGCTCTACTTTTGGCTCCTGCTGGTAGTAAGATCCAACCCCTCTGCTTCTGGGATGGCTCACCTTACACCCAGCAGAATGGCAATCCCTCACAGCTATATCATGTAAACTATCAGTGTCTTCCCCTGCCTTGTAGCCAGATGGATTAAGGAAAAGTCATTTGAGCACACCAGCCTGTGTGATCTTGAGGTGTCGATGGGATCAGGTATCAGGCATCAAAGACCCAGAACAAAAGCTCATATCAATGTGAATGAGGGCGAGTGCAGAGAGGAGACCCAAAGCCCATCTGTAGACAATTGGACATCCCCTTACAGAAGGGTCACAAGAAAGACGAGCCAGTCGGGGTGCAGTGTAGCACCAATGAAACATACAACTTTCCTCTAGTTCTTTAATGCTTCCTCCCCTCCACTGTCATGACCCCAATTCTACCTTACAAATCCGGCTAGACCAGAGCATGTACACTGGTACAGATAAGCGCTCACAACACAGGGAATGCAGGACAGATACACCCCTCAGGACCAATAATGAGAGTAGCAATACCAAGAGGAGAAGGGGAAGGAAGGGAGGGGTGGGGAGAAAGGGTAACCGATCACAATGATCTACATTTAACTCCTAACCAGGAGGAAATGGACAACAGAAAAGTGGGTGAAGGGAGACAGTGGCCAATGTAAGACATGAAAAATAAAAATTTATAAATTATCAAGGGTTCATGACTGTGAGAAGGTTGGGGAGGGGAGAAAATGAGAAGCTGATATCAAGGGCTCAAGTAGAAAGTTTTTTGAAAATGATGATTGCAACATCTGCACAAATGTGCTTGACACTGCCTCAGAGAAAGATAAACTTAATGTATTTGCTTCAGGATTAAGATTTGTTTAACAAAACAGTTTTATGAAATCGAAAATTTTTTAAGTCTAGTTAACTGATGAAAGTTACATCTCACTGTTAAAAAGTCACATGATACTTAACTAAATTCAAGTTTATTTTAATCCTTTAAAAAAAAAGAAAAGAACCTCACTGCCGTTGACTTAATTTTAACACATAGTGACCCTATAAAACAGTGTAGAATTGCCCCTGTGGGTTTCTGAGACTCAATCTCTATAGGAGTAGAAAGCTTCATCTTTCTCCATAGGAGCAGCAGGTAGTTTTCAACTGGTAGTTTTGAACTGCTGACCTTGAAATTAGTGTAATGTGTAACCACTTTGCCAACAGGGCTGCTTATTTTAATCCTTAGCTTCTACGTATTATATTTTTGTAAATAAAATTGGCATTCAGAAACAGTCATAGTGAAAAATGTTAAGAAGTCTATAGCTTGAGAAAGTACAGGCTGATCTACAAAGAGGAAGACCCTCCCCAATGAGATGGATTAGCCCGGTGGCTGCTACAGGGGTTCAAATATAAGTTGTGAGAATAACACAGAACCAGGCATTGTGTGATTCTTTTTCACATAGCATCGCTGTGGGCCAGAACTGACTGGATGGCAAGTGTATTAGTCTGGGTACTTTGGAGAAACAAATCCACGGCGACTCACGTATAAGAGAGAGTTTTATGTAAAGAAAAGGTGCATCACGAAAACATCCCAACCCAATGCTGCCCAAGCCCACAAGTCCAACATTAACCCATACCCAACACCAGTCCACAAAGTCCACCTCACAAAACAGAGGCAATGATGCCGACTGCAGGAGGAAAGCTGAGTCCGTGAACGTGTAAGCATCTCAGCACTGGCAAGGGTCTCCACACGGCTGCTCCAGCACCCAGGGCTGCATCGGGATAGATCCATGAGGCTTCTCCTTGGGGATGTCTTGTAGGAAGTCAATCTTGCAAGCTGAAGCAGGGAACTGCTAAGGCAGCTGCACCCGATGCAACCATCACAAAACAAGAGACCCGAGAACTAGAAAGGCGAGGCTTCACCACCCATTTATCCCTCCGCCTTTCAACCAGCCCCACATGTGATTATCGGCCAGGCTGGCACAATTAACTAACTCAGCAAGAAACAACAGCAAATCTTGGTATCCATACTGTACCATCCAGATTGAATGCTTTGGTTAGGTTAGTTGCTTGATTAGTTGTTTTATTTGCTATATTGGTGATTTCTTTTGGATCAACTGTAACATCCCTAATCCTACTAGTTTCATGATGATGCTTGAACTTTATTTTCTAATAAACTCTTTTTAAAATAGTTTTATTGGCATATACTTCACTTAACATGCAATTTAATAAATTATGCTGAGTTATGCAATCAGCACAATTTCAGAGCATTTTCTTCTCATACTCCATGTTGTTAGCTCCTTATTTCCCCTCAAGCTCCTCTGCCACGCCCCCAGGTAATTATTAATCTAGTTACTGCCTCTGTAGGTTTACCTGTCCTGGATTTCCTATGCAGAAAAATCATACAGAACACCAACAAGAAGTAAACAACCCCAAACAATTTAATAATGACAAAAAGCAAAACAGAGAAAACCTGTAATCAAAATGAAAGCAGAAAATATTAAAAACTGAAACAACTTTAAAATGGACCAAAAAGTGAGATCAAAGAAGGTGTTACATTTAACCTAACTACATCTGCCATAATCAACTTACAATGCTCTGATAGCAAGGCTATTCATATCTTTGGACTGTGATCAGAGAGGATTAACCAGAGGCTTAATCCATGTGGGGACTCTGCAAAGGGATTTGGGGCTTCCACTCATCCAAAATCTTAAGCCAAGTGTTTATGATTTAAGTTCTGACACAGTCTCCTCCTTCAGATTTAGATTATTTACAATCCTTGGATCACACAGGCTGGTGTGCTTCTTCCATGTGGACTTAGTTGACACCTCACTTAGATGCCTACTTGTTTTTAGACAAGCCTTAAAGATCCTAGACACTATTCTTTCTGATATAGCCAAGCGCTGTCTGGTTTCTTCAGCACACTTTGGTATAGCACCAATATCTTCAGTGATCTCTTCATGAGGGTGAGTATCGAGTAGGGCCGTGTCATAAGAACTAATTGTTTTTAGACTGGCCTAGAGTTAAGTGCACGCTCAAACTCCATTCGTGTATGTATGGTTTATATATGTCCCTGCTTCACTTCAGAGACATCGTTATCATTTTATGATAGAGAACATCTATTTAATTGTGTATTTTTTTGAAAACCTAAAAATTGTGTTTTTCTTTTTTAGCGTGTTTTCTTACTACTAGAAAAGACATTGCTTGGCACACCAATACAGTTCACCTGGCAAAAAACATCAGGAAACTACCTTGCAGTAGCAGGGTAAGAAACCAATGAATGTTTTAAGTAGGTAATCCTGTCTCTTGGTGAATGTATGCCTATATGACTGCACCCTCTAATTCAGTGTAAGTTCTTGTGACATAGCTGTATGGTGGGGAAAAATATGTTCACCTCCGTTGGTATCACATCTCATAGAACCTTTCCTCTGATAAGTAGTTGTTAAACAATAACTAAATATACATGATGAAACTATCAAGGGTGAACAGTGAAAACGCTGGTTTTTGTACATAGTTATCAAGGTGTGTAATGAGAGAAAGTAACATTTTAATTAGATCTTTGGGTTGTGATTACTTTTAGAGCGGATCATATTGTGAAAATCTTTGATCGCCATGGTCAAAAAAGAAGTGAAATTAACTTACCTGGGTAAGTACAGAAGTAAATAAAAAATGTTTTCAAACTTTTGTTATATTTTTTAAAAATTAGTTTATTTTTAACAGTATCACCTACTTAATTCTGAATTCTTTTGTTTGTTCATAGTAGTTGAATTTTACTGACAAAGAATCTCCAGAAAAAGGGTTGCTATATACTCAGTTTTCAAACAACAGCTAGTTCTATCAACAATCGGAATGCTTCCTTCTTCCATAGTCTCCAAACCTTAAGAGTATTAAAGAAAACTAAGACCTCCAAACAAATTTTAACAGTTGGAAGAAGAATAAAATAATGGAAGGAACTCCATGCTGTTGTACAGGCACATTCTCACATTTAAAAAGTTTTTAACTTATTCAAATATAGATCCCCACCCCCCGAAAAAAAAAGATTTGGCAGTAAAAATATTTTTCAAAATAGATTTAATGGTCTTATTGTTGACAAAAATTACAAATGTGTTAGTATGTTTCTTTTCTCTACTTAAAAAAAAAGTATAGTAACGTTTTGCTCTCTTTTTTTGGAAAGTAACTGTGTTGCTATGGATTGGGATAAAGATGGAGACATCCTAGCAGTGATTGCTGAGCAGTCTAGTGGCATCTATCTATGGGATGCCAACACAAATAAGGCCAGCCAGCTAGACAGCGGCATGAGGTAAGGATAACTTATTTTAGATTTTGGAAACCTTTACATATATCCACGATGAGTTGCAGAGTTCATGCTAACTACTTAGTACATTCTTTTATAAGACATATAAATGAGCAGTTTTCTTATGCTATTTCTTTTATTCTTCTACATGATTGTTCTACTAAAACTAGTTAATTAACTAGATTTAAAATGTTACAATTGTGAAATACAGAGACCAAACTCGCTGCCCACTAAGTCGATTCCCACTTATCAGGTACCCTATGGGGCAGAGTAGAACTGCCCCCGTGGGTTTCTGAGATTTTAAATCTTTAAGCCTCATCCTTTTCCTAAGGAGCAGCTTTGAACTTCTGACCTTGTGGCTAGCAGCCCACCTTGTAAGCTGTTATACTAGCAGAGGTTCGTAGATGCTCTCTACTCCCATAAAGACTTAAATTATAGTGACAGCACAGCACTGATGAAGTTCTGCCCTGCCCTAAGGATCACTATGAGACAGTATGGACTCTCTGGCAGAGTTTTGCTTTTTTTTTTTTAAGTGAAATGTAATTTATAAAATTAAAAATTGTTTTTAGTGGCACAACTAAAAAAGTCCAAAAATATATGTGGGAAATACTAGCGGTGGGTTGCCTGGATCCAAGCTTGGTCCGTAACATTCTCCCTGGTCAGAGATCTGAGCTGTACCTTTCTTGACTGCTGCATCTAATTGAACAAAGACACAGACATTTACCATTTATTCTTAGTTGAAGAAACCTGATATATTCATTTCCCTTGCTTACCAAAATTAACTTTTAATTACAAAAATTTCTTATATTTGCTTTTAGTTACAACTCCTTCATATATTTTATATTAATCTTTCTTTTCAAGTATCATCATGGTTTTAAGGCCTTTGGCAAATGTGTTTCAATTAAATATGTCCTTTTTAATACTCCTATTCTGCTCTAACTTGGCTGGAGGGTGCCCCTGTCAGCATATTCTTTTGCCCTTTGTTCACTGACCTCGGGATTCTTGACTGCAGCCCTGCTTTGTGAAAAGCACGGCCTATCAGTGGTTCTCCAAGTTTCACTGCATCAGAGTTACCTAGAACACTTACTAAAACAGATCGTTGGAACTCACACCGACAGTTTCCCATTCTTGTAGGGCTGGGGGGCTTAAAAAGTTGGCCTTCCTAACAAGTTCACAGGTGATGCTGATGTTGCTGATCGTGGAATCACATTTTGAGATCCCAGGTTCAAATGCGTTTCTTTCTCCCCAGTATGTGGAATGAGCTGCACACCAAGGAATTCCTTTGGTAGGAAACCACCCAAAAGCTCAAACTCTGAGTCCGGGAATGCCCACAAAACTTGATGGTGACAAATGTGCCTTCCACCTACTTTGGGGCTACTTCAAATAGTGGAGTGGCCGGGAAAAATGGCTCTTTGAAGGTCATCGATTCCCAAATTACATCTATCATTCAGTATCTCACTTAGTGGACCCTACTTGTTTTGTTTTCTTTTTAAGAGCATGAGGTTTCTGGGGGACAGACAACCGAAAAGTGGGTGAAGGGAGAAGTCGGACAGGGCAAGATATGACAAAATACCCATTTATAAACTATCAAGGGCTCATGTGGGAGGGGGGAGCGGGGAGGGAGGGGAAAAATGAGGACCTAATGTCGGGGGTTTAAATGGAGAGAAAATGTTTTGAGAAATGATGTACAAATACGCTTTACACAATTGATGTGTGTATGGATTGGGATAACAGTTGTATGAGCCCCTCATAAAATGTTTAAAAAAAAAAAAAAAGAGCATGAGGTTTCATCACCATTAAGATTTTAACCAAATTGAGAACTGCAATGGTCGTTAGCAGGCAAATTATATGGCCAGAGGAATTCTGATTTGGTACACGTGGTTAACACACCTGGCTACTCACTGAAAGGTTGAACATTGGAGCCCACCCAGTGAGCCCTTGGGAGAAAGGCCTGAAGACCTACTTCTGGGAAACCAGCCCCTGCTCCTCCTCTGGCGTGCAGATCTACTGACCCTCGTGGGGTGGTCATCAGTTGAAGCCGACTCGATGGGAACTCGTTTTATATATCATGGGCCGTCTCATGAATTGGAAGATCCTTCGTGTTGGCATTCAAGTTTATACTGACTACTGATTAGTATTTTAAGTCTGGCTGACCATCATGTAGCCTTTCCAAAATGCCTTTAGCACTTGGTCTTTGTCCTAAAGCATAAAGTGGTCATTATGTTCTTTGACTTCTAAGATGTGAAAATTACTCCCAACGGACTATTTTAAAGGAGGTTACAATTGTGAATTGTGTAGTCATTTATCTCTTCATGTTGCAGGGATCAAATGTCTTTCCTCCTTTGGTCAAAAGTCGGAAGTGTTCTGGCTGTTGGAACCGTTAAAGGAAACTTGCTTATTTATAATCGACAGACGTCTCGAAAGATACCTGTTCTTGGTGAGTTGTAGCTGGGAGCATTGCTAAAGAAGCTTTATGCAAATGTCCTTTCTACTGCCTCAGCTTTCCCTCATTTTGCACAGAAAATTTTATACTATGGCCACCTTCCCAGCCCAGTCTTACATCTGGCTAAGCAAGCAGGTCCCTCTTACTGCTAACCAAGACTTTTCCTGGGTACATACAATAGGTTGCTTTAAGGTTAGCCTTTTAGCATCCGTATATTAATGGCACGTGGTCCATCTTTTCTTTCCTTGCCATCTCCTACCCCTAGACAAAGCATAGCCCATGCGAAGTCAGCACATTAGAGTGTGCACTCAAACGTTCAGTGACTGTGGGGACAGAGTCAGTCTAGATTCCTAGACTTCTCACTCTCAACACCGATTTAACCCAGATGTGGAGTATGAGTTATATTTCCCCCAGGGTAAACAGGCTGACCGTGATCGAGTCCTCCTTTGACCTTGCTTCCATCTGTTCACTCTCTGAACCTCTGGTCATTTAGCATCCGCACACCCAATAACCAGAAGACACAGTAATGATTCTAGTAATTATTGTAACATGCTGGTGAATGATCGAGCTAGGGGATTTTATGACATTCAGGTAGCCAACAAAAGCATAACTCACTGCTTACAAAGGGTTGAACTCCAGAGATACTGGCACCCCAGACTACTTGGAAATGTGCCTTTCCATTAAGAACATGTAAAAATTTCATTTATCTGTTGGACTTCAGTAGGCATTTTCTCTTTTCTCATCTGTGGGCATATCCCATCAGCTCCCGCATGTTAGCTACAGGTGAGTCAATTCTGACTCATAGGAGCTAGTCATCAGGCTTGCTGTCTGAGGTGCCTGTGGGTTGATTTGAATAGCCAAACTTTTGGCTATTAGCCAAAGTGCTTAACCATTTGAAGCACCCAGGGATTCCTTGTCATATACCCACCCACTACGCATAGTGACTCTCTATAGTTTATGCGACTGTGAGTCTTTGAGAGCAGACAGCCTAATGTGCCTCCTTTGAGGTTAGCAGCCCAACCCCTAAGCTGTAGCATCAGCAGGGCTCCTTATTGTCATACCAAAAGACGTCCACAAAATTTTCCTTATTTTTCAATTCCGTTTTTCCCATGAACTTTTTGAAGCCTTCCTGTTTTTAAAGTGAATATTGATTCGGTTCAAATCCGTCCTTACTGAGTAAAACATCTGAAAATTCAGGTTAATTACATTATCTAAGATCTTTTAGCTTAAGCTATAGCTGCCTCTCTCAGAGTTGGCTGTGATTGGTGGTTCACCTTTTTGCCTTTCAATTTCCTCACACCAAACCAGGGCAATTCCCATAGCAGCCACATGGTAGCATGTTCTGCTAGCACTTGACAGTCATTTCACATCTGTTTTATGTCGTACTGATTTGTTTCCTTGAACTAGGCCACAGACAGACTCTTCTTGCTTTGCAGTGTAGATATCCATGAATTTCAGTTACTGCTATTTAATCAAATAACACTAGTTCCCCAACCACAGGATCCATTTTTCATTAACAGCTTATTAACAGTGAGGTGAATAATTATTAGAGGAGTTAATATAGTAAAATACCCAGAAGAGTCAAAGTAAGCATATGATATTTTATGAATTATGTTAACACTAATAGTATCATCACTTACATTAAAACTAATCTGAGTTCAGGTCACTAGAAACAAAGGGGCCTTGAAGTACACACGAGGAAGGGGAACCAAAAGATTTTTCTTCTCCTTTTTGAATCTAGAGAATACTTTGCTTGGGCGTCTTTATGTTCTCTTTTCCACTTCCCAAAGGAACCCTTAGGAGCTCTGGTGGTATAGTGGTTACACACTGGGCCGCAACACACAAGGTTGGCAGTTCGAAACCACCAATCACTTGGTAGGAGAAAGATGGGGCTTTCTACTCTCCTCAACATTCTTATAAACTCACAGAGGCAGTTCTGCCCTACAGCATTGACTCAGTGGCAGTGAGTAAAGAGCACTGGTGGCATAGTGGTTATGCGTTGGGCTGCTAACCACAAGGTCAGCAGTTTGAAACCACACATGACTCCAAGGGAGAAAGACGGGGCTTTCTACTCCTGTAAAGATTGACAGTATAAGAAACACACAGGGGCAGCTCTTTTCTATCCAACAGGGTGAGTTGGTATAGACTCAATGGCAGTGACAAAGGGAAAAATAGCCTATCTTTTCAGGCACTCACCTCTGATGTATCACGATCTAGCCTCAGCAAACTCTCTTCTGTCTCCAGCCTCTTTTCTGGATACTCCCTTCACTTGTCGCTCAGGTTTGCTGATTTGAAATAACACCTATACCTGACCACTAGCAAATACATCTCTCTAGTCCAGACCTCTCTTCCACATTCAAGGCTCATACACTGAACTGTTTACTCACCATCTTCGTTCAGATGCCTAGGAGATATTGCACGTCTAAATAGCCAACACTCGCTTCACCCAGAGCCTTCCCTCTCTCTGTCCTTCTTAATCTTCAGGCCAAACTTAGAATCATATTTGACTCTTCTCTCTCGATACACTCTAGATCTAAGTTGTCAGAAAATCTTGTAAGCTCCACCATCCTCAGTCTCCACAATCCAGCCTCTTCTCACCACCTCTGCTGCTACCACCAGGGCAAATGGGCCTCAAGCTTCCCCCATCTGACTCCTGGAATTTCGTTGCCAACTTTTCATTGGCTCTTGTGTTAGTCCTGGTACTTCAGAGAAACAAATCCACAGAAACTCATGTATAAGAGAGAGTTTTATGTAAAGATTAAGTGCGCATCAAGAAGATATCCCAACCCAGTGCTGCCCAAGCCCACAAGCCCAACATTAACCCATTAACCCATATGTCCAACACCAATCCACAAAGTCCTCCTCCATCTCACAAAACAGACACAACAAAACAAACACAACAATGCCGACTGCAGGAGGAAAGCCAAGTCAGTGAATGTGTAAACAACTCAGTGCTGGCAGGGGTCTCCACACGGGTGCTCCAGCACCCAGGGCTGCATCAGAGTAGCTCCATGTGGCTTCTCCTTGGCAATGTTCTCCAGGAAGTGATCCTTGCCAGCTGAAGCAGGGAACTGCTAAGGCAGCTGCACCCTAGCGCAACCATCACAAAGCAAGAGACCAGAAAACTAAAAAGGCGAGCCTCACCGAGCCATTTATCCCTCCGCCCTTCGATTAATCCCACATGTGTTTATTGGCCAGGTTGGCACAATAAACTAACTACCTCAGCTCTCAAGCTCACACAGGAAGGAAGACAGGAACCACCCAGGCTTCCACTTGTTGGGAAACCTCTGCCGGGCCACTCCCCAGATCCACCCCCACATCTTGTGTCCCAGCCAGGCTCCCAGATACCAAAGTCTTTTCAAGTCCAGGGGCCCTGCCTCCTCCCCAGCTTCCTCATCTCCGTGTAGGGGAAGGACAAGCAAAGTGTTTGAGGGGAGGAGATGGGACAGGACACACAGCATGGGAACAAGTGGGAAGAGAGAGAATAAAATATTTTCCTCTCCCCCCACCAAAAAAAAAAATTTTTTTCCTCTCTGGACAAAAAAATAAAAGCTTACAGCATTGGTAACCCTTGCAGAATTTCTGCTTTGTCCTATAGGGTCATTATGAGTCAGAATTGACTTGATGGCAGTACGTTTTATGGACTATTATTAAAAACTATTACATGACTTTAGTTATACATGAGTAGTCAAAACTATGAATATCAAATCTACTCATGTCAAGAGTCTACCATAGCACAGAGGTACAAAGGTTTGAGATTTACTTCCTATAGGACATCGTTGTTACAGGGTTTGGTTATATGCTGAACAAACAAAACTTTATCCACAAGTGGATATCTTCTTTTTTTTTAATGTTAGGTCTTGTGCTCCTAGGTACACAACAGTTTTAAAGCAGTATTGCCCTTGTACATCGTTATCTGGATTGACAATTTGATTTACAAATGAACTGTTTTCAATAAGGTTGCTCGAACGCCGATGGCTTTGTAGACATCTTAAATTCCTTGTCTATTTAATTCCATGGTGTATTACCCAAACGTTTGGCTTGACAGCACAGATTTTTTTATCACTTTATTGGGAGCTCTTACAGATATTATAACAACCCACAATTCACTTAGATCAAGCATAATTGTACAATGTCTGCCGCCATCAGTTTCAAAACATTTTCTTCTGGAACTCTTTGATATCAGCTCCCCTTCTTTCCCCACCCTCCCACACCCTAACCCCAGGAATTCTTATTATTATATATTATTATTTGCCATATCTTATACCATCCAGTGTATCCATTCACCTACAATTCTGTTATTCATTCCCTCCAGTGGGGTTATATAGACCACATTGCTATCAATTCCCCCTCTCCCAATTCTTCCATACCCTGAAGGAGTCATTACTCCCATTACTGTTTCTGAAAGGTTTATTTTGGATTTCATGCATCGAATGATCTTAATTATACAAATGAACATACGGATGTCTAACAAAATTAATGAGGTAAAACCAAGACCATAATAGTAAGGGGAGGAAATATGAAAAAACTAGAGGATAGTTATGTGTTTCATCAGTGCTATACTGCTCCCTGGATATATCATCCCTTCCATGTGGCCCTTCCATGAGGGACTGTCCAATTAGCTTGGAGGGAACAGCACAGATCTTTTCTTATATGTTTTTGTTTTTATTTTTTGAGAAACCCATGTGTCTGTAAGCAAGACATCTCTTTTTTTCAGGAAAACATACTCAGAGAATCACATGTGGATGTTGGAATGCAGAAAATCTACTGGCATTAGGTGGCGAGGATAAAATGATCACAGTTAGTAACCAGGAAGGTGACACAATAAGACAGGTAATCTGCTAGCTCCCCTGGTTCTGATGTACTCAAACGGACTTCCCCATCCAATAAAGACTCTGCCGATCAAACTAACTATAAAATTTAAAATAGCCCAGAGGCAGATGCATAATCACTTCATACTCTAAACATTGAAAACTTGCTTTATTTGTGAAAGCATTTGTCTTTAATATGAACATTTTCTCCTAATATTCTGTCTTGTACATTTCTGTTTGTCTAGTATGCATGGGTTATCAGTTCCGTGTGGTTGTCAAACAGTGGACTTGTGAAACAACTTTAATATGCTTATTTTTAAGACTAATGTTAATTGATGCTAGGCTCTGGACTCAGTCAAGTCTGCCTGATTTTAAAGATTAGCCAATCTGTTACCTTGCTTCCAAAGTAATCCTTATATTTAATTTTTAGCATTAAATTTTACTACTGCTGAGATTTCCTAGGATTGATTATATCTTCACATTCTCGCTTCTTAAGGGAATTTGTGTTGCCAGTAGCTATGTGATTTCATCGCTGCAAAACATGTCACTATGATCCAGTATCACTAGAGCAAGATTAGTTAACACAGTTTGACTGCTTGCTAAGTGTGTGGCTCTATGCAATGTACCATATAAGACGATGAAATGTAGCAGTTATTTGTTGCTGCATAAGAAATTACCCCAACATTTAGAATGTTTGTTCCCAGTGTTTGTTAGCGAGGGAACCAGACCCAAGTGGCTCTGCCTCATGGTCTCTCACAAGGCTACAAACATGCTGGTTCGCTGCAGTCTCAACTGGAGACTTGACTGGGGACAATCTGCTTCCAGGCCGACACACATGGCTGGTAACAGGATTCTCTTCCATACCCATTGCTGAGCCCAGGGCATCAGCTGGTCACTGGCTATGAACCTGACTATATGACAGTTCCTTATTACACAGATCTGTCTGATTCAGGCTTAATTTGTAATTTAATCTCAACATCACTTTTGGCATATTCCCTTACTTAATAGTTACTAGGTCAGTGCATATACAAGGGAGCAGGGGAGAGATTAACATAGGGAATCCCCAGTAAGTAGTGATCACTGGGGACCATTGTAGAAATGTCTACTATAGGCACTTATTCTCAGGAAGGTAAAACTCATCATTATAAAACAAAATATATGATTGTCAAATTTTATGATATAGCTTTCAGGTCTTCTAGTTGGGGAGATCAATTGGATTAAATCTCCAAGAGGTGAAGCTGACTCTAATTAGGCAAGGTATGTAAGGTGACCAGACGTCCCGCTTTTGGCGGGATAGTCCCGATTTTTAACAATTTTTCCCACATCCCGCGGCGTTTTAAAAAGCCCCGATTTTTTGAAAGAATGCACGACAAACTAGGGTCTACGGTTTTCAGCTGCCATGTGGCTATTTCGCCAGGATCAGAGTTTTATCAATGGTGTCCCGCTTTTGTCCCGCTTTACCAATGTTAAAATCTGGTCACCTTAGGTATAGGTTAACCTTTAATAGAGACCCAACATTATAGGAGTTGTAAGGAGCCCTGGTAGTGCAGTGATTATGCGTTGGACTGTGATCTGCATGTCCAGCAGTTCGAAACCACCAGCAGCTCCTCAGGAAAAAGCCTGGGTTTTCTACTCCTATCAACAGTTAGTTTTGGAAACCCACCGAGGGGTTGCTAGGAGTCAACAGTGACTCAACAATAGGAAGTTCTTGAATAGAATAACTCTTTCATATTGAATGTTGTTTGGCCCATTGTCAAAGATCAGTCAGTTGTCTGTAGAGGGATGAATTTACTTCTGCATCTTCTATTCTGTCCCATTGCTCTACGTACCTACCATGGTAACAGAACCAGGCTGCTCTGACTACTGAGGCGATGTAACAGGTTTAGAGGTTGGGTAGTAAGAGGCTTCCTATTTTGTTGTTCTTAAGTTCTTCGTTTATCCTGATTCTCTTCTCTCTCTTGGTCAAGTTAGTAATAGTTTCTCCATTTCTCTGTAGAATGGAGCTGGGATCGGGGTCAGATTGATTTGTATTTGTCAGTTGCTTTGAGTAGTACTGACGTTTTCTGTGGTAATTGTTTTAACCCCTGCAGAAACAGGTGAGGGCAGAGCCCAGCAACTTGCAGTTTTCCCTGATGAGGACTGATGAACGACCTGCCGCGTCTGAAAGCACAGTAAGAATTCTCCATTAAGACAGTTAGATTATTGGGGTTATTTGGATTGTTTTCTAGGATGGCTCAGAAGCTATAGTGATAATTAAGTTATGATCTGTCACTTACTAACTCCGTGCCTAGCCCAGTCTTTCGGGTCCACAAGTTGTTTTTGCTGTTGCTAACAGCAAGCCTGTTGCAATTGGCATTGCTCTTCTCATTCCTATGGTAGCAAACAAAAACAGTGGGAGTATAGAAGTTTGGATCTGTAGATGATCTCTTATTTTCACTTGATCAGATGTGTCCAACCGAGCTCCCAAGTTTTTTCTGCCTTTAATATTTAGATTCACTTTTAATACTTGGATGCCTTTCCCCCCACTGTATTTTTCCATGTTGAAGTCCATATAAATTTCACAATCAACATAAATTAATGAAATAACTTTGTTTTGTAAAAAGCTTTCATTAAATGATAGTATCCTATAATCAATAGCATTTTCAAATCAAGAAATATATACAAGTGGTTTGTTTTTTTTAAAACATCCTTCACTCTTAATACGCCCACATAAGTCATACTCCTTTTCTCCAGCACAATCACGTCTTCCACTGAGCATTACCCTTGTACTGAATTGTGTCCCTGGCTAGTGTAAACAGTTAACACACAAAGCTACTAACCAAAAGGAAGGAAGTTCCAGTCCACTCAGCGGCACTTTAGAAGAAAGGGCTGATGGTATATTTCTGGGGGGAAAATCAGCCATTAAGAACCTTATGGAGCCCTCTTGATACATCTGCATTGCCATTGAGTGGGAGTCGACTTTGTGGCAACTGGAAAGGAAAGGAAATGTTGACTTGTGTGAGTGCCAGAGGGACACTAGGTTAGTCACACTGACAAGTAATGTGCAAGTGGCCTTTGAAAACAGTGATGCTAGAAAAAGCCCCATTAGATCAGCTATGGAGTATAGCCATACAATCTCAGATGGCTCTAAAATAAAATGCCTCTTTGACTGGAAGAACCAGACCCCGCATGACCTGAGTTCAGTTGCAGCAAACCTATGTTAGATTTACATTTCTACACGACACAGCACGCTAACAAAAGCTGAAAAGAATGTATAAGAGCAGTTCCACAGAAGTATCTTCGTATTTTCCAAAAGCTATCTTGGAGATGTCGCGTGCCCTCCAGTAAATTCTGACTCACAGTGGCCCTTTGGGACAGAGTAGAGCAGCTTCACAGGGTTTCCCTAAGCTGGAATTTGTATAAGACCACATCTTTAGTCTCCCATGCAGAAGCTGGTGGGTTTGAATCAGCAGCCTTTCTGATAGCAGCCGAGAGCATAATCATTGTGCTACTAGGACTCCTTCAAGGACCCTTACTGGAACATGTTTGTAATCAGCATCTGCTGACTGCCACCTAGTTGTCTTATTAATTACAGCGTTTCTTTAGCTATACTGTACTTAGTAATCACACCCCTTACTTACTATCTAATATTTCACACTTATAATAGTGAAAATGTATTCTCCAGCTATCTTGGGCATTAACACCATACATCTGGCAGTAATGAACGTCGAGGTGTGAGCCGAGAGTATAACTGGCTGTGATGGTTAAGATTATGTCTCAGCTTGGCTGGGCCGATTCCCAGTGGCTTGGCTGCTGTGTAATGATGTAGTCATCTTTCATTTTGTAATCTGATGTGATCTCCCTTTTTTTTTAACATAACAACTTTGTCTCATAACGACCCGTCAATAATTGAGGGGTGGGTGTATATCACGTTTAACACTAGGTTTACAGGACGGTCATTTTGATGCATTTCGACTTCCTCAATGCAACGTACGGAAACCATTTGCACTTAACTCCTACCATGTATGCTGGCAGTTATCTATTTAACGAGACAAACATCAGTCCAAATTAATTTTCTTCTAAGGCTTCTAATTTCGAAATTCTCTGTGATATACTTATCTCTGTGGAAGTGCGTCAATTTGATGCGAATGTAAATTGAATATTAATCCCAGTAAACAGGTTTTATTCATGGAAGCATTACTAATAAATATAAACATAATCAGAAAGTTCTTAGGAAGTAAATCTCAAATGTAAGACAAACAATGCAGCAGAGCGTCATACTGACCGACCCAAGTGACCCTTAAGATTCATCGACCCCAATATCTCAAATGTTGTATGATGTTTAATGTTATAAAATGTATGTAAATGTATAGTAGCACGTGGTTTCATTTTTAATGTAGTAGTGTATCATTATGTTGTTTTTAAATAAAATTGTTTTCTAAAGAAGATGTGTGGTTTTGTTCATGTGTCAATTTGACACGTGACCTTAGAGATAGGAATGTAAGAAATGTCCATAGATTTAGTGTTAAACTTAGCTTACTATTTCCAAAAATTAGGTTCAGCTGTTTGGGATTTTGTTATTGGTCTTTTCATTAAGTGCTGAATAATTTATTCTGATTTCTCTTCACCTTCTCTGGCAGATAAGTGTGGTGGTTGGCAAGAAAATGCTATTTCTTTTTAATCTGAATGACCCAGATGACCCAGTTAGTTTAGAATTTCAGCAGGGCTATGGCACCATTGTCTGCTATACTTGGTATGTACAAAAAAAGAACATCAGCTGGGAGGGTGGAGGAAGAGTGGGTTGGAAAGGGGGAACCGATTACAAGGATCTACATATAACCTCCTCCCTGCGGGACAGACAACAGAAAAGTAGGTGAAGGGAGACGTCGGACAGTGCAAGATATGACAAAATAATAATTTTTAAATTATCAAGGGTTCATGAGGGAAGGGGGAGCGGGGAGGGAGGGGAAAAATGAGGAGCTGATGCCAGGGGATTGGGTGGAGAGTGAATGTTTTGAGAATGATGAGGGCAATGAATGTACAAATGTGCTTTACACAATTGATGTATGTATGGATTGTGATAAGAGTCGTATGAGCCCCTAATAAAATGATTTTAAAAAATCATCAAAAAAGATATCCATACTACCAATATATATGTAGACGTGTGTTTGTGTGTGTGTGGTTGTAAAATATGTGTGTGTGATTTTTTTCCTGCAACATTCTATATATAACATTTTCCAGATTACAGTCTGTACCTTAGTATGTTACACTCCTTAGAATATTGTCTGTCAAAACATTAAGCCCTTAGTAAATCATATTCTGTAATTCATTCATTTAATATACTAATTTACAATAGTGTCATTTACAGTTAATCTTCCTTTGTATTATATTGTTGCCTTTGTTGCTACAGGTATGGTGATGGCTACATCATGATTGGTTTTTCACGCGGAACTCTTTTGGTGATTTCTACTCATACCCAAGAGATTGGCAAAGAAGTATTTCAGACTAGTGATCATAAAGATAACCTAACCAGTATTGCAGTATCACAGACCCTTAACAAAGCTGCAACGTGTGGAGATAATTGGTGAGTTATAGTCAGATATTCATGGGATATCTGACCCAACAGAATGCTCAAATATTATAATATCACTTATCTGTCAGTTTGTCAGACTGTGGTGGCTTGTGTGCTGCTGTGATGCTGGAAGCTATGTCACTGCTATTTCAAATGCCAGCAGGGTCTCCCAAAGTGAACAAGTTTCAGCAGAACTTCTAGACTAAGGACAGACTACAAAGAAGGAGTCTACTGTCCACTTCAGAGGAATTAGCCACTGAACACCATATGCATAGCTTTGAGAAATTGCCACATGCTAAAGGCCTAATGAGTCGAATCAGAACATGATCAGAGATGGTGAGATGAGCCCCTCAGATCCAAAGGCACTCAGCATTTAACGAGGAAGAGCTGCTTTCTTTCTCAAAGTGGAGGGGTCTTAATGAGGTGACTGGAGTAAAGCCTGTGAGAGGAAAGCCTTTATTTTCTGACAGGGAACTACTCAAAACAAGAAGAAACAGCTGCAAAAATAGACTTATAACTTGAACTTTGAATGCCAAGGTATGAATCTAGGAAAATGAGAAGTTGTCAAAAATGAAATGAATGCCTAAAGATTGATATCCTAGGCACTAGTGAGCTGAAATGAACTAGTATTGGCCATTTTGAATCAGAAAATCTCCTATGGTTTACTCTGTTGGGAATGATATTCAAGAGACGTGATGTTGCATTCATCATCAAAAAAGAACATTTCAAGATCTTTCATCAAGTACAATACTTTCTGTGACTGGATTACATTTATCTTCATTCAAGGAAATCCAACCAATACAAATTTTATTCAAACTTATGCAATAACCAATAAAACGAGTGATGCTGAAATTGAAGAACCTACCAATGTTTTCTGTCTAAAATTGACTGACTATGCAATCAAGAGGCATTCACCATTGCTGTCTATTGTAATGCAAAGTTGGAAGCAAGAAGGGACAGTAGTTGTGAAATACGGTCTGGTGATAGAAAATGAAGTTGTAGCTCGCATGTCGAATTTTACAACATCAATGACTTGTTCATAGCAAATACCTCTTCTCAAAAACACAGATTTCTCTACATGGAATCAAGTTGGCTACACTCGTGGAAAGAGAAGGTGGAGAAGCTCAATTTCAGCAGGTAAAACAAGGCCAGGGATCACTGTAGAACAGATCATCAATTGCTCACATGTAAGTTCAGGTAAAGCTGAAGAAAATGAAAACAACCCCACAAAAGCCGAAACACAACTTTGTCTATCCCCCCCGAATTTCAAGAACATCTCAGCAACTGCATCGACCACGAATGACAGAAGACCCATGCGCTGTGGGATGATATCAAGAACATCTTACATGAAGAAAGAAAAAGGTCGTAAAAAAGAAAGAAAAGATCAGCCTTGGTGTCAGAAGAGATTCTGAAACTTGCTCTTGATTGTAGAGTAGCTAAAGCAAATGAAAGAAGCGAAGTCAAAGGGCTGAACAGAAAATTTCAAAAGACAGCTCAAGAAGACAGAGCCAAATATTATTATGAAATGTGCAAAGACCTAGAGTTAGAAACCAAGAAAGAAGAAAATATTCAGCATATCTTAAGTGGAAATAACTAAAGAACCTCAAGTTGCAATATTGAGAGATTCTAAGGGCAAAATATTGAATTATGCAGGAAGCATCAAAAGATGACTGAAAGAATGCACAGTCACTGCACCAAATGAACTAGTCTGCGGTCTGTCAGTTCAGGAGGTGGCACATGAGCAGGAACCCATGGTACTGAAGGAAGAAGCTCAAACTGATTGAGAGCACTACCCCAAAACAAGGCTCCAGGAATTAGTATTCCCGGCGAATTAATATTCACCAATTGAAAGGTGTCTACAAGCTCATGAAGCTCTGTAAGCAATTATTCATCTATGCCAGGAAATGTGGAAGACAGCTACTTGGAAAACTGACTGGAAGAGATCCATATTTGTACCCATTTCAAAGAAAGGCGACCAATGGAGTGGTCAAGTTGTAGAACAATATTGTTATCACGTGCAAGTAAGATTTTGCTTAGGATCACAACAAAGGTTGCAGCAGTACCTTGATAGGGAGCTGCCAGAGGTTTAGGCTGAATTCAGAAGAGGACGTGGAACAAGGGATATAATTACTGTTGTTAGATGGATCTTGTTTGAAAGCAGAGAATACCAGAAAGATGTTTACTTGTGTTTGTTGACTATACCAAGTTATTCATCTATATTTATCTTAACAACTGTGGATAACCTTGAGAAGAATGGGAATTCCCAAACACTTCACTGTGCTCATGGGGAACTTGGACATGGATCAGGAGGCAGTTGTGTGAACAGAACAAGGGAATACTGCACGGCTTAAAATCAGAGAAGGTGTGTTCCGGGATTGTATCCATCACCATACTTACTCAGTCTGTCTGCTGAGCAAGTCTTCAGAGAAGCTAGAGGATATGAAGAAGAGTGTGGCATCAGGAATGGAGGAAGGCTCATTGACAACCTTCTATCTGCAGATGACACACCTTGCTTGCTGAGAGTCAGGAGGACTTGAGCACATGCTGGAAGAATTCACGGATTGTAGTATGGATTTCAACTCAGTGTAAAGAAGACCCGAATCCTTACAACTGGACCAATATGTAATATCATCATCAATGGAGAAAAGATGGAAGTTGCAAGGATTTGCCCTGCTTGAATCCACAATCAGTGCTCAGGGAAGCAGCAGTCAAGAGATGAAGACTTGTTGCATTCGGTAAATCTACTGCATAAGACCTCTTTAGAGTGTTGAAAAGCAGAGAGGTTACTTTGCAGACTAATGTGCCCCTGACTCAAATGCACATGGTACTTTCACTTGCCTCATATGCATGTGAAAGTTCAACATTGAATAAAAAAGACCGATGCATTTGGATTATCGAGCTGGAGAAGAATATTGAAAGTACAATGGACTACCAAAAGAGCAAACAAATCTGTTTTGGGAGAAGTACAGCCATAATGCTCATTATTGGCAAGGACGGCAAGACTTTGTCTCATGTACTTTGGACATGTCAGGAGTGACCAGTCCCTGGAGAAGGACATCATGATTGGTAACGTAGAGGGTCTGTGAAAAAGATGAATACTCTAGACAAGATGGACTGACACGGTGACTGTAACAATGGGCTCAAACATAGGAACAATTGTGAGGATGGTGCAGATCTGGACAGTGTTTTGTTTTGTTGTTCATAGTGTTGCTATGTACAACCGATTCCATGGCACCTAACAACAACCACATTCACAAGAAAGTTTAGTAGAGAACACTGGCAAGAGATTCAAAAAGACTTGGGTAGCTAATATGAATCTAGCAAGCATATTTTCTTATACTCTTCTAACAGGTTTGGGTTGAAAATTTCTGGGACTCCTTGGCCCTTGCTTTTAACAGTCAGAGGTAACCAGTAAGTTTACTCCACCCTATCTCTCTCACTGAATATAACTACAAACCTGGCAGACTGTGTGGAGCTGCTGTGTAAGCATTCTAAAAAGTAAGTGGTAGCAGGCAGAGTGGAGAAGACAACCAGAATTTGTGAACTCCCAGGCTCATCCTTGAACTGTGTATGTGTAAAGAATGCAAAAAAAACGTTCTTTGTACAGAAGGTAACTGATAACCTGAAGGAATGTTGGGACATCAAGCATGAGGGAAGAACAATGAAAGTTGTAAATATCTGTCTAAAAGATCTTCTTTAAGATCTTTACATGTGACAGATAGGATGTTCAGTGTGTGGAGATGTAGTGTGTAAGACAACCATAATATAAAGAGGATCAGGCAAAAGTGTTAAAAGGAATACTGTTTTTATATTCTGTATTAAGTGGTAAAATATTGATTCTAAGTAGGCTATGAAAAATGTGTCGTAATTCCTAGAATAACCAGTAAATGATAAAAAATATAGATTTGTATATATATATATATATTCCTGTACCATCCTCACAATCATTCCCATGCCTGAGCCCATTGATGCAGCCACTGTGTCAATCCATCTAGTCTTCCTCTGTTTCGCCACCCCTCCACTTTCCCAAGCATGATGTCCTTCTCCAGGGACTGCGCCCTCCTTGACCATATCTGCAAAGTATGTAAGATGACGTCTTGCCATCCTTGCCTCTAAGGAGCACTCTGCCCTTACTTCTTACAACCTATATATAATGATAATAGGTAAAAATGAAATGGAGTGCTTAAAAATTTTCAAGTTAACTAAAAGGGAGGGGAAAAGGGATAAACTGAGGGAATAAACAGAAGCAAATAATAAAACTGTAGACCTAAATCCAAACATACCAATCAATGATATCCAATGTAAATGACAAGTTACTAGGAAAAGGCTGTTAAAATAGATGTTTGTAAGTGACTTAATTATATCTTGTCTACAAGAAACTTGTTTCAAATAGAATGATAGAACTAGATCAGAGTAAAAGAAAAACCATACAAATGCTAATCAAAAGCAAGCATTGATGTCACAATACTTCAAAGAAAATCAAGAGGTATAAAAAGAGATGTTATTAAAGTGTCAATTCACTAAGAGGATATAATAATCCCAAATGTATATGCACCAAACAACAGATTCCCATATTAATTGAAGTAAAAGCGACAGAATTGAAGGGAAAAGTAGACAACTTAGCAACACTAATTGGAGACTATTTGTCATAATGTAGCTTGTATGTTGCCATGATACTGTGCCACCAATATGTCAAATACCTGCAGGGTCACCCATCGGGAACAGATTTCAGCATCATTTCAAGACTAAGGGGGACCAGGAAGAAAGGCCTGATAAACTACTACTGAATATTAGCAAGTGAGAACTGTACAGAGAGCAAGAGTCTCGGAAGATAGCTCCTGCAGATTACAAGCCATTTGATGACTTTAATAATGTGAATTGAATAAATACTTCAAGACCTTCATTTGCTGATGTGATGTGACTCAAAATGAAAAATAACAGCTGCAAACACCCATCCATAACTGGAACATGGAATTTATGAAGTACAAACCAAGGAAAATTAGAAGTTGTAA